AGTGGTGGTGGTTAGACCAGGCCTACCAGAGAAGACCCAAGACCTTTTGTTGGATAAAACAACTGCAGTCAGGAAGGGTTTTATACTTCATCTATTGCAGCTGCATTCATACCCCGCCAAGGGAATCACCAGGAGAAAAGAACAATGGTGCATTGGTGCAAAAACAATTGAACTGATTCATATACGATTTTTTCAGGATGTGTCTTATCCATATGTTCAATAGCAATCTTTCTTTTTCTTCTGCCCTAGAATGAACGTGAGCAGATCATGACCACCATCGTATGGCTCAATCAGGTAACCATCCCATGGGTCTTCATTTTAAACCTCCCAAACTGGAGAAGAAACAACGAAGCAACTACTTCATATTTACAGCATCTGATCCTGATCTCCCAGTGACCATTTACATGCCCCTCTTCATGCGCAGGATGCATTCCAAGAAAATGGAGCCCTCAGCAGTAAACAGGGCAATTTAATACAGTATTGCACTTTCTGGAGGCCTTGGCACAAAGTGGGGAAATAAGGCTCCAGATATTTTGGCGGTCTGGTTTACCACTAGCACGGGGTGAGCTGCCTTGGGTCCTTTTGGAAAGAAAGATGGCATAGAAATATCTGAGATAGATTAGACAGACAGACAGACAGACAGACAGATATATATATATAGAGAGAGAGAGAGAGAGAAAGAGAGAGAGAGAGAGAGAGAGAGAGAGGGAGGGACAGACAGACAGACAGACAGACAGATATATATATATAGAGAGAGAGAGAGAGAGAAAGAGAGAGAGAGAGAGAGAGAGAGAGAGGGAGGGACAGACAGACAGACAGACAGACAGATATATATATCCTGCTGCTCAGCTGACAGGCAGGCACATATACACAAGCAGCAGACCCTGTGGTGATCACTGAAACAAAGGAAAAGCTAATTGCCTTGAAGAGAGGGAACAAAGGAGTCAACATCAGTTGTCCAAACCAGCTGAGCCTTTCAGCAATGCCCCAAGGGCTCTTTTTGTTGACACAGTATGTTATGAAAGAAACAGATAGGATAGTGGTTACCTAATCCTTAACTAGTATTAGCTAAAATAACTCTTTGATCTTATGTTCTACCTCTAAGCTGAAGGGCAGAATAAGGGGTTACCCCCGCCTGCTAGCCGCTGCTGTATCCTGTCAGGAGTGTATGCACTTCACTGAAACAGAATCACAGCTGCAACCTTTAGGCAGGAGTTTACCACAAGACCCAGCTTCCGTGCAAGTAGCCAGGCCTTCCGCCTCTCAGGATGGTGGCAATGACAATGGCAGCAGTGGTGGAGGTGGCTTCAGGACAAGGTAGGGAGGTGAGGCGGCCGGGGGAGGGGTGGGCACCCCGTTTTGCCAAAGCAAATCAAAGCACCAAGGGGGAAAAAGTTTGGCACTTCATTTCATTTCAGTAAAATGGGATCCCTGAACTGAACCATGAACTGAACTACAAAGCAGCCCAGTTCGTGGTTTTTTCCTGATTTGCGGTTCAGTTCGTGCCCATCTTTAGATGCAACATACTATTTGGGCATTAACATTGAAAGGAAGGCAGATGGGTGATATTTGTTAAATGAGGAACAGAAGATAGCTGAGCTTCTGGAGACATTAGGCCTTCAACATGCTCACAGTGTTACAAAAACCATGCAAACAGATTTTCGGTGGGGAGGAGGAGGAAAATGACCCTTTACCACAAAACAATAAATACAGAACAGATATAGGTATGCTTTTGTACCAAAAAAAAACCACTACCAGACCAGATATAGCTACTGCTGCAGGAATATTAAGAAAAGTTAGTGTGCCAACACAGAGTTATTAGACAGCTGTAAAAAAGTAGCTAGGCATTTGAAGGAGACCATGGATTTCCACATAAGATTGCCAGCCAGTGAAAACCCAAAGGTTGTAGGGTATACTGGTCAAGATTTGTCAGAAGATAGTACAGATTATAAATCTACTAGTGGTTTCCTATTTTTATAAGGTGATAGTCCTGTTTCATGGGCTAGTCACAAACAAGATGCAGCTTTCTCTTTTACAGAGTCTGAATTCACTGCTGCTGCTGAAGGATGCAGAGAAGTACTCTGGTTGGAGAAGCTGCTGGACAACTCTGGGATTAAGGAAGAAATGCTAATCCGGGTGATGGAAGACAGTCAGAGCTGCATGAAGAGCTGCATCAAGCTCTAGCAAAGTGAGAAAATAAATGCACACCCCAAACACATGGTGTGTGACCTGACTAAGAAAGGCGTCATTAAGATGGGCTACTCTGCCGCACCACAGAAATGACGGTAGACATCCTCATTAAGCTTTTTCCAAGAGACTGTTTCCAGAACTTGCACAGCAAGATGGGTCTTCAAGAGAGTGGCTGCATGCAACTTCGAGAAGGGGTATTTGAGTTTTATTCACAATCTTGCTTGCTATCTATAGCTTGAGTGACTAGTTGGGACTTTGCTGGACTAGGGTGATTGTCTGTCTAGCTTCAGCTATTTTTAAGGTGCAGAACTGGCTGCTAAACAGAGTCATCATCTGATAGACAAGTAATGGCAACAGGCCATATTCATAATGCATAATGCAATAACATTGCTTTTGTAGATAGAGGAACAATCACAAGAACAAACATTTTGCAGCCTCATTTTGTATCATTTTACAAAATCACATCTCAAGCACTAGATTTAGGTAACTTAGACCTTTGGCCACCGTACTGTTTCTTTATGGGGGTCTTTTTGCTATAGGAACCCCCTTCCTTTGTCTTGAGGGCCCATGTCTCTCAGGATGACTTAACAGTAGCATCATTCTATATTTTCCATATTTGGTACCCATCCTTGGTCTTAAAGACATGCTCCCAGGTCTGGGTTCTTATGAATAGTCTTACAAAAAACTATTTGGAACGGGCTCTACCCAAACTTGAGTAGAGGATGGTTCAAGTTAATTCTTTTCCAGGTACCAAATACAATCCCATCATTACTTCTCTGTCATAGACCTTTGCAGAATATAACCCACCATGACAGTACAAATTGAGGAGATTAAGCCATCAGATGTAATAGATATTAGCCAACTCAGGCCTTTCTGCATTAGAAACGTTGCCTAGATTGGGACCCTTATTGTGAAAAATTGTTAAAAAAACCAAAACCTGATGAAAAGAAGGAGAGAGAGAAATGAGTAAATCTTGTAGTGAGTCTTATTTTTATTTATGAACACTATACAGTTTTGACACATCAGGGTTTTCTCTATGCATCGGAATTAAGGACACTTTGTCTCACAGACTGGCTACTGATGAGTTCTGATGGCAGTCACAAACTACGTTTTCTCTCCGAAAAACTGCAAACTCTGTGTGCCTTGTATAAGTTTCCTGGTGGCAGGGAGAGAAACCACACCTCCATTTTATGACATTCATACAAGCAGCTGGAATGTCTGATACTGAAGACGAAGAAAATGAAGGACACTTACAGAGCCCTTCAGCAAGAACCTGTTATATATACGGAACACATTGTGAGAGCGAAGGGATGAGCTCTGAATGCAGCCACACAGCTTACTTTAGCTTAAACAGAGTGACAAGTATATTACCGTGCAGGCTATCAATAACATATCTAAATGCATCAGATAAGCCAGGTACAGCTGGTCATGTAGGTCCTCTGATGATAAGAGGGTAATATTGCCCTGTGATGCAGAGTTACAACCAAGCCACACTGCCTTATTCCTTTGAATGTCCTCAGCTGACATATCCAGTCATCTTTATCTGGCTTAATGAACTGCAGGCTGGCAGCGTAACAAGCAGTGGTGCTGGAGATGTCTTCCTCTCCTGCCTCCAACTGTACGTAACAACTGATACAGATACGCAAGGAAAAAATCAATATCCATTTTTGAAAACAGCAGTGGCAAGTTGCTTTTTATAGAACACTGTCCCACTTGCATCTGTCTTTATTCCTGACCTGAAGTGACTGACCTCTGATTAAATTAAATATGTGATCTCAAGAGATGCTGGTGAATTTTTTTTTAAAGCAGACAGCAGATGCGAAATAGTCAAGCAACTGTGTATGTGTGTGCATGATTAATGCATTGCATAATTACGACTGGACACAATTTTGTAACTGGCAAGCTTAAATAAAATATGGCTAATAAAAGGACAACCCCTGCTCTGTGGGCTATATCCAGCCCATGAGTCACAGGTTCTCTAGCCTCGTACAAAGTGCTCCAGGGTACTGAAGTGATTCTGCCTACCCAAGATTGCCATTAACTTCCCTTGTTATTTCCTCTTCAAACTGGCATTTTGTCTGAGCTGTATTGGTCTTTAGTGATTCTGGCTTCAACTCGGATGGCTTTGCTTGCTCTGAGACAGCCTGACAGCCTGGAGAGCTTCCTGAAGATCGTTGCCCTGTATGTAAAGGACAGTTCTTGGTGGGGGGGGGGGGAAGTGGCAGTGTAATCACCAAAACAAATGATTGGTCACAAAAATGGGGACAAAAACAACTGCAAATGGAGAAAATGCAATTTCTCCCTCTACCGCCCCTTCCACTGCTGCAGAAGTCCCTCTTCCAGCTTGCCCACTTCCCCTCAAGAATCAGACCCAGGCACTGTCCCCTAAACCTGGTTTTCATTCTCTCACCAAGGACTGAATTGTTTAAAATCAGAGGTTGCCTTTAGAAGGAAGTCTTAAGTCCTGGTGCAAATGGTGGCTTACTAAAAGCCCAGTTTCAACACGGGAGCCTTTTTCAAGGGATCGCTGTTGGTGAGGAAAGGATTCAAAACACTCCTCAGCAATATGGCCTCCTCCAATCCTCTTCCCATGGCAATTGTGAGAAGCCTACATGAGCAAAGTTTACGGTATTGGTTCCTAGCCTGAGAGACGTGCCCTCCTAAGAAGGCAAGAAGAAATTCTAAGGATAAGCCCAAGACAAGGCATTATCTTTCACATTATAGCCCAGATGTTTTTTCTCCTCTGCACAGAATCATGGAAGTCACAGTGGCTAATTGAGAATAATTAACAAGCTACTGGTCATGTAGCCTGGCATGTGACCAGGCACCTCATTGATTATTGGAAAGTAAGTGCACAGCTGTACTTGAGCAACTTCAACTTTTGGATTAAGCTCTTTGAAACTCGGAGTGATTTCCAGAGCACACTTTCCCCTTTATAAAAGAATCATGGCCACCTTGCCAAGAAAATAAGGGAGCTTTTGTTTATTAGAGAAATACACTTGGGATAGGAAAGGTGATAGAGTTCATAGTTAACCAGGTTGGAGATCTTAGGACGCCTGCCCCGTTCATCTCTAGAGATTAAAGGCAAGATGTTTCCCCCTTGGAGGGATGAGGGATGAGAAGGAAGGAAGTGACATCACAGCCCTACAAATACTAGTCTATGGTTAAATGAAGAACAGCGCAGGTAAAGGATACTCTAGGAAACCCGCGGTAGTCCTTTCTCTCAACTCTTCCCCCTGTAAAGGCATAAAGATGAATTGCACCCAACCATTTTCAACATTAATTGGCCTTATTTAGTATGACAATGTTAGCAGTTGTCTACTACATGTAACACAATAGGATTTTGATAGATATATATCCATGTTGTTTCTATTATTTAAATTCCTCCTTTATTTATTTTTTTTAAAAGAACAAATTAAAAAGACAAAATGTGATGGCACCTTAATGACTGTTATGTTTTAGTGTGAGCTTTTGTAGACAACTCTGTTTCCTTGGACATAATAAGAATATAACATGGCAAATATTTATACATGACATAAAAATACAGAGATTATGGCTGGTTGGTTGGTAAGAAAGTCAATGAGTATTTAACAGAGGGGTGATAGCCTCTTTGATATAGAAATATATTCCATTGAAGCTTCCGTGAATGTGTGAATTATCCCAGGCAACGGATGACCACAAGAGTTACATGGCAATGAGTTAAGACTCTCCGAATTACATTTGAAGTTTTTTAGGTGGATCAGAAGAGGAAGAAAATATATCTGGGATTTACAGTACAGTGCAATTACCGTTATTTTAGTGTTCATAATTTGTACTGCCCTAAAAAGCCTTGGCTTATACTGAGTCCATTGAGATGGGTGTCTAATATCTGTATCCCAGCTGTCTCTCTCCGGATTCTTGTCCTGTACTCTCTTTTTTTTCCCAGAATAGCCACTTTTAGATGATTGCTAAATGTCCTGGTAAATTGAAATGATGTAATAAAGCATGAATTTCAATTAAATGAATGGTATGTATGTATGTATGTATGTATGTATGTATGTATGTATGCATGCATGCATGCATGCATGCATGCATGCATGCAT